TTTTTGTAGAGACAAGGGTCTCCTTATATTGCCCAGACTGTTCTCAAACTCCTGGTCGCAAACATTTCTCCTGCCTCAGCCTTCCAAAGTGCCAGGAAATAGATGTGAGCCACTGCATCCAGCAAAACTATCTTTATTAACAGATGACATGATTCTCTGTAGAAAAATCATCGCTTCTTGGCCTTTTGTCTAAGATCAATTGTAGAAAATCAGAGGGAAGCTACAAAAAAGCTACTAATAAGTCAGTTTAGTAAGGATGAAGGATTCAAGCTAAATATACAAAAAATAGTATTAATATTATGGATAGGTTATAGCAACAAAAAATTGGAAACTGAAATACAAAAACCGGCTCAGTCTGTAATCCCAGAACTTTGGGAGGCTGAGGTGAGTGGATTGCGTGAGCCTGTGGGTTCAAGACCCGCCTGGGCAACTTGGCAAGACCTCATCTCTATAATAAATCAAAAAATTAGCTGGGCGTGGTAGCGCGTGCCTGTAATTCCAGCTACTTGGAAGGCTGAGGTGGAAGGATCGCCGGAGCCCAGCAGGTCGAGGCTGCAGTGGCCGGGAGCAGCCACTGCACTCCAGTCTGGGTAACAGTGTGAGACTCCAACTCAAAAAAAAAAAAAAAAGAAATACAAAAACTAATAACCATCTTACAGCAGCATTACTGGCAATAGCCAAAAGGGGAAAGCAACCCAAGCATCTGTAAATGGATGAGTGGATACATAAAATGTGGCATAGTCATTCTATGAAACACTATTCAGCCTTAAAAAAAAAAATTCTGGCTGGGTGCAGTGGCTCACGCCCCAGCACTTTGGGAGGCCGAGGCGAGAGGACTGCTTGAATCCAGGAATTCGAGACCAGTCCAGGCAACACAGCGAGACCCTGTCTCTACAAGAATAAAAAAAATAAGCCAGGCGTGGTGGCATGAGCCTGTAGTCCCAGGTACTCAGGAGGCTGAGGAAAGATCACCTGAGCCCAGGAGGTCAAGGTTGTGGTGAATATGATCATGCCACTGCCTTCCAGTTTGGAAAAGAGTGAGACCCTGACTTAAAAGAGAAGAAAAATCTGAAATATACTACAATATGAATAAAAATAAACCTTGAATACATTATGCTAAGTTAAATAAGCCAGTAATAAAAAGACAAATGCTGTATGATTCCATTCCCATGAGGCACCTAGAATGGTCAAATGCATAGAAACAGAAAGTAGAATGGTGGTTATGAGGGGCTGAGGGAGGACAGAATGGGGAGTCATTGTGTAACAGGTGCACAATTTCAGTTTCTCAAGATGAAAAAAGTTCTGACGATGGGCGGTAGTGATGGCTGCACAACGTCATGAGGGTATTTAATACCACTGAACTGTACACTTGGTACAAATGGTTAAAAAGGTAAATTTTATTTCATATATATCTTGCCACAATTAAAAGTTTTTAAAAATAAAAAACAGATATTACTTAAAATACCATCAAAAATGTTCTATTTAAGAATATGTCTGACAAAAAAACAGAGACGACCTGTACAGTGAAAACTTCAAAACACAGCTGAAAAATATCAAAGAAAATCTAAATAAATACAGAGATATATGCTGTTCATGGGTCAGAAGATTCAATACTGCTAAGATGTCCATTCTCTTCAAACTGATTGTAATGCCAACCAAAATCCCAGAAGACTTTTTTTGTAGAAATTACTTCCAAAGGCATATGGAAGAGCAAGAAACCCAGAATAGCTAAAGCAATTTTGAAAAGGAAAAGCTAAGTGTGAGACCTTACCTTGATTTCAAGACTTACTATAAACCCATAGTAATCAAGATAGTGTGATATCGGAATAAAGACAAACAGATCAATGGAATAAAACAGAGTTCAGAATTAAAACACACAATTGATTTTTAACAAAAATCCAAAGACAATTCAGTGGAGAGACACATTTTTTTCAACCAGCGGTGCTGGAACCATTAGATCTTCACATGCAAAAACCTGAACTTTGATTCATACCTTGCACCACATATAAAAATTAACCCAAAATAAATCACAGACCTAAATGTAAAACCCAAAGCTACAAGGAAACATAGGAGAAAGGTTTCTTAGACATGACACCAAAAGCACAGTCCATAAAATAACAAATTGGTAATTTAGAGTTAATTAAAATGTAAAATTTTTTTCCCAAAGGCCACTGCTTTGCATTGGAAAGGAAAGATTTGCAAATCATCTATCTGATAAAAAGCTTATATCCAGAATATATAAAGAACACTTCAAAATTCAACACGCACACCAAAAAACCCACACAAAATTGGGTAAACAACCTGAACAGACATGTCTCCAAAGATATGCCTTTGGCAAATGGGCACATGAAAAGATGCTCAACAACATTAGTCATTAGGGAAATACAAATTAAAATCATGAGATATCGCTACCAACAATGTCTAAAATTAAAGAGACTGACCACACCAAGAGTTGACAAAGATGTGGATGAACTACAACTCTCATACACAGCTGTTCAGTATATAAAGTCGTACAACCACATTGGAAAACAGTCGGGAAGTTTCTTAAAAGTTAAATGTACACCTACCCTGTGATTTAGCCATTCCAGTCCTAGGGATTTACCCAAGAAAAATAAAAGCATATGTCCACACAAAAACTAACACAAATGTTCACAGCAGCTTCATTACTGTAACAACCAAAAACTGAAAACCATCCATCAGTAGGTAATGAATAAATAGACTGTGGCACACGCATGCAAAGAATTACTCAGCAGTAACAAGAAAAAAATGAAACATGCCACATGAATGAATGCCAAAATATTTATGAAGGATGAAAAAAGTCAAACAAAAAAGAGCACATGATTTTGATTCCGTTAACATAAAATGCTGCAAACTCAAATACAGTAACAGAAAGCAGACTAGTCTGTTGTTACCTGGGGAGGAGGGATGGCAGAGGAGGGCTTCCATATGGGCACAGGAAAACTTCTGGGGATTTGGGAATAGTGTGTTCACTATCTTGAACATGGTGGTGGTTTCACCGGTAAACACACGTGACAACTCATCAAATCGTATGTTTGAAATATGCTCAGTTTACCATATATTACCTCGATAAAGCTGTTATTTAAAAACAAACACTTCATCTTCCAGAATAAGCACAGGGCAGGGGGCTAATCTTGGACTTAGGGGCCAGAGAAAAAGGTCTGGAAGCACTCAGCCTGCCTCCCACACCTGCTCGCCAGGGCTCCTGGGAGGTGAGAGCACCAGGCTGGCAAAGAAGGGACTGGGTCTTCTGCTCTCCAAACACTGCAGGGAAAGCCATAGCCCACTACACACCACACAGTCAGGGAATCTGAAGCTCAAAGATGCTGTCTTGCCCAAGGAGGTTACACAGCTAGTAAGTGATATTAACCGGATCAAAACCGATCTGTCTGAAGCCAAGGTCCTTCTCCTTCGCTTCATCTTCACAAATTCAAAAAAGCCAACCTGGAATAAGTAGATGAAGATGTACGCTCATGTGTATATACGTTTAAGACAGATGACTCTCCCCACTGAAGTCAGAGAGCCAGAACCACTCCAGGAGAGCCAGGCATGGTGGCGGAGTGCGGCACAGCAGCTGAGTGTTGGGGGGCGGGTAGTGTGACAGGCAGGGCATGAGGCTGACAGACAGGTTTGGGTTTGAGTGAGGAGTAGGCTAACCGGCTCCTCCAGCAGCTGCCACCTCCACCACCACTCCCTCTGCCCCTACAGGAGAGCACTATCTCCATCCAGTCTGGCTTGGGACGGGTCTGGGGGCCACCTGACTCAGCCACACCTTGGGCTGGAGCAGAGAGGGGTTCCCATTGAGACTCTGGGCAGGCAACTCTGCACACACTCCCACCCAAGGGCTAGAGAGGCAAGAAGCCCGACAGTGCCAGGTAAGAGGCGAAGCGCTAGGAGAGTAAGGCCCACAGTGGGCCAACCAAGTCTTCCTGGGCCAGGAATGAGCAGGCCTGGCACTCTGGCCACGAGAGTCAACAAGAAGCCAAATTTAGCCCCCACCTTTGGCTCCTGCAAGTCCCACCCCTACGCTGGGCTAGGAGCTGCCCCAGGACGGATGCAGAGCCCATGAAACCACTGCTACCCATCTGTCAACCTCCACAGGGTGGGCCCAAGGTCTAGGCAGCTCAGAGTCCAGTGTCCAGCACTGCAGGTTCACCCTCCTCTCCCATCTCTTCAGGTTGTGGTCCCTAGGGCCCAGGCTGAGGCAGGAGTCCTCACCAATTGCTCTCCGCCCTTCTGCCCACTGATCACCCTTGGGCCCAGATCCTTGGCCCTGGGCCCTCGGTGGGTGTATATTAGCTATGACATGACCATGTGGTGGGAGCAGGTCAGGCTCGTGCCCAAGTCACTGGCTGCCACACTCACATCTCAGCTCACATGGCCCACAGGGTTACAAGATAACCCTGTTGATGCAACACTCCCCTCTTCCCTTTTTGGAATGTGTTTTGACGACTTGAGGCAACCTGTGCAGATTGCATAAAGGCACCCCTACCACCATCAGTAGACAAGTGGATGGGTAACTACCCTGGCAACTTCAGCCCTGGGGCTATCCCTCTCTTCCCTCTGCACAGACCTGGCAGTCACCCAAACAGTCTCACTTCCAGTCTAGACTCTATGATGCCAGGCTGAGTGCAGCGGCTCATGCCTGTAATCCCTGCACTTTAGGAGGCTGAAGTGGGAGAATCGCTTGAGCCCAGTTTGAGTCTACAATGAGCTATGATTGGGCCACTGCAATCCAGCCTAGGTGTCAGCGAGACCCTGTCTCTAATAAATAAATGAAGACGTCCATCACTCCAGTTGCCACAGACAGTACTGGGGGGAGGGAAGAGGACTGCCTTGCGGTTGAAAACGGCAGATTTTTCGGGGTTGAAAAACCGAGCGACAACAAGGGCAGTTTGGAGACCACCCTCTTCCCAGGGATCTGCGGCCCCTTGCTTCCCAGAACACCAACTCCTGCTGAGAACAGAACGGGGCCCCCTTACCTGCCGCCTTCCGCTGCCTGCCAGCCGACACAGCTTTAATGATGCCGAAGCTGAGGTAGCAGATGAGGATCCCGCGGGCCGCTGCCTGCCCTCAGCAGTGACTTCCAAAACTCCCAGGCTCAGAGCGCCCTTCTGCTCCCCGCTCCCCACCTCCCTACATCCTGTGCTCCCCACGGCCCTGGAGGGATCCTGGTGCCAGGCGGGCGACCTGTAAGTTACCACCTCCTCCTCCGTCTGCGCCTCCGGGTCCTGTGCCCCTCGGGGGGTCCCCCTCCCTCCTGGGGCCACTTCCCGTGCAGGCAGGTTTCCTGGACAGCCTGCACCACCTGTCCCTCCTGCACCCCGGGCAGCCAATTTGCCTCCTGCACCCCCGGGCGCCCCTCCCCCTCAGGCCCCTGGGGTCCCACAGGCCGAGCCCTGCCCACCAGCACCAGTCTGTCTCGGCGCGCCGGCGCCGCTCCCAGGACCACCGCCTCCCTCCTGGGGTGCCGGCAGCTCTCCCAGCTCCGCTCCCCCGGCTCGCCGGAACTTTCGAGCCCCCCCCC